AAAAAAAAAAAAAACCCCAAAAAACGCCTACAACAGCAAAGAGAAACCACACATAACATTACATGCTGCCTGTTCGTCAGAGGTTTGAAAGGGAGCCGCTTGCGTCAAGCCTGTGCTGTTTGACTCAAATTGTTGACGAGCCTCAAGATAAAAGAGGGTGCAGTTTGTTTTTCTTGTTTTATGGGATTATGGTCATTTTTACTCGGTATTGTTATTAATGTTTCAAAATTTCTCTGTTGTTTCCTTGTGGTTATTATTATTATCATTTATTCACCAACTGAAGATCTGTAGTTTTCATTTTGTTGGTCCAAATTGTACACCTGAACTTTACAACTCACCTTGCCACCCCTGTCATATGTTTTCATCTTGTCCAATATTGGGACTATTTTTTTTAATAATTCTAACATTTTTAGGATTTTCCTGGATTGTCTTCACTTGCAATGTATGGTGTTTTTGACAGGATTAACATCACCTACAGCTCATTACAGAGGTTTTCTTTGTTTGTAATCTCCACTGCCTCCCACTTCCTCCCAATTGGTCACACATACATGAGGAGTGAGTGAGTACTGTGTTATAATAGACGTAAAAAAAAACATTTGGTGTGGACAAAATCTGCAGGACAAAAGAAATCACTTCAGAGCTCGAGTGAGTGATTCACTTTCCATCGGTCGCTCATTCACTCTGCTCTTTCTTTTACATTTCACGGGAGAAGGAGCTCATTTGCTGACTGGAGAGATGGATGTGGAGATAAAATGGCTGAACCGGAAACCAGAACAAGAGAGGTGGGACATTTGCCACAAACTGTGATCTAGTTGTGCGCACACGCACACACACACACACACACACACACACACACACACACACACACACACACACACACACACACACACACACACTCGCACACACGCACACACGCACACACGCACACACACACACACACTCGCACACACGCACACACACACGCACACACAGCTGTCAAAACAAGTCAAGGAATAGAGGTTTTTTTGCACAAGACTTTTAAGATGGAAATTTAACATCTGCTGCTTTTGTGCTTGATGTTTTGTGTGTGTGTGTGTGTGTGTGTGTGTGTGTGTGTGCGTTCACAAGGTTAAGTTTGGCCGAGTGGAGGGCTGTGTCCATACTGATGGAAGACGACTGGGAACAGTCATGCTGCACTTTTAGTTTCCACTCAGTGAACACACAGATGCACACAGGTTCTCACACACCACCCTCAAGAAAGTCTGTTAATTAAATTTGTGTCGCTGTCGGACAAAAGCTTCACAGGTCTGCATTCAATTTTGGTTCTTCAGTTTAAAGAATTAAGATCACAGCACTGACCGGGCCCCAGGGACGGGTCTCTGCAGCGTACTCTGTCCCTTATTGTACTGACCGACTGCGGAGGACGGTCCTGTTCTGAAACGACTCCAAGCTGAAGTGGCAACTCATTTGGCAAAAAATAAAACTAATGTCCATGAACTCCAATTATCAAATTATTATTCATCGAGATTTTATAAACAGAGCGTAAGTCACTCCTAGCATTTTGCATAAAATGAAAGATATAGTTTAAGGAATAGTGAGACATTTTCAGAAATGCACTTATGTGCAAGTGAAAAATTGATGCCTCTCTTGTATCTGCACAGAAATTATGTAGTTGGAGTCAGCATCAGGTTAGCTTAGCTTAGCATAAAGCTGGAAACGGGGAAATAATAAGTCTTGCTCTGTCCGAAGGTAACAAATGCCTAAAGGCACCTCCAAAGTTAACACAATATACTACATTTGTTTACTCTGTAGAGAAGCCGAATGTAGTCAGTGGAGACTAAACGGACACACGACGCTCCATAAAACTGTAATTTTTACTCTTCAGCTTCTGTACAGATTGCACGGCTGTCCAGTCTTTATGCTAAGCTACGCTAACCAGCTGCTGACTCAAGCTTCATAAACACCACACAGATGTGAGAGTGGCATCAACCCTCTGCTCTAACTCTTTCCCAAAACATCAAACTAAAGTCAATTCTTTAATTACAGCCCGACCTTAGCACCGTGTTAAGCAGAGGCGTCTTCCTCTCTCGCTCTACCTGGCCTCACAGCTGCCAGTAGTCTATACAGTAAATAAAATATTACATGTGATTCTACATAAAGGTTGAGATAAAAAACAAGATTGGTTTAAGCTTTTGTAAACACCCTGCATTTTCAAAAATAAGAAATTTTATATCCGACAGCAGTAACTGATCACATTCAGTGGCTTTGTTGACATGCCTGCAGGAACACCATGACTGCTAACAGTCTGAGTTTGACAAACATGAAATTTAAATGTACCAATGATTCTCTTACATTTGACATGTTGCTCTTGTAAGTGTTCCAACTGAGAGAGAAACACGGGCCGCTGTCATCAATCACACGAACAACTTGATCGCATTTAAATAACTGTGATGAAATAACTGTGTAAAGATGTTGTGACTGGTCTTTATTAAACACAACACTCCCTATAGGTTACTGTGATAACACTGATCTCCAGCTGAGGGGATAATCCGTTTTAGAATCAGTTCATGTGAGTCCCGCAACCACATTTTTTTTCACCTTCATTCTACAAAAAGGTCTACAGCACATCTGGCATTACTCACACTAAACACTATAAATATGGACGCTTGATAAATTTCCAATCTGTTGTTTTTCTAAATGCTTTGCCAGCTGCTGTTTTTAGATGCCTCCATGCAGGGACTGACGCCAGTGTGAGGCCATGACACTCGCAGTATTGATCATGAAGACTTTGTGATGAATGGATGGATTTACACTTTAGCTAATTAATCTGAGCTGTCAGTCAGCCGGCATGAGAGAGTTAAATGGGAGGAGAGCTCAGGAGGGAGGAAGGATTGTTGGATTATTTGCAGGCAGTTGCAATGAAATTAATGTCCCGATGATTTTGTTTGACTTTATATACTGTATGTTCATATTTTGACTGATTACGACAGGCCTCTACATCTGAGAACATTTGTAGGGCATCCACAGACTTAAAATAGCTCACAGGTGCTGGTGTTTTACACGGAGTGCCACGTGACTTAAAATAGTGGCAACTGTTTTCTCTCGGTGTTTTACCGCCCCAATGAAAGTAAGATTAACCACTAAATGTTTTCTTTTCTTTTGCCTTCTGGCCGCAGGTACATAAGACGATATTTCCTGATCCTGTGATAAATACTCCTAGACGTATTAAGACGTATTATTGCTGCAGTAGAAAGGGAAACAATCACCAACACTGAGCAGGCAGAGTCATCACTACATTATTCTGATATTAATTAATGACATAAAGTATTTCAAAATGTCCGGATCACAGAGTTATTCTGATCCCATGGCAGCCATCACACCGGATATCACCATTTCACAACAGATAAAAGTAATTTTAGAACTGGAATGAAGTTGTCCCAGATCAGTTGTCTTTAAACGTTTGAGTTTGAGGGGCGTCATGGCCCCTTGAATATTTGTCTGATTGATCAATAATCTGGATGTCGGACATGTAGTGTGACGTGTAGTGTGAGTTAAAATAATGTCCAACATGAACAACTAGAATTACCGCCTTGTGGTTGTATGCCTGCGCCAACCAGCCAAGTTGTAGGAAATATGGTCACAATCTCCCCTTCCTGAGTTAAAGTGTGAATAATAGCCAGAACATTATGATGTTCTGGCTATTATGATGCTATCGCATTCACAAGAATGTGAGGTCATTGTGGCCTCGAACTTTGACGTTTGCTCACAAAAATCTAATCAGTTCATCTTCGAGTCCAAGTGAATGTTTGTGCCAAATCCGAAGATATTCCTTCAAAGTGGTCTTGAGATACCACATTCAAGAGGCCAAAACCATGTTTTGTGAGGTCGCAGTGACCTTTGACCTTTGACCTTTGACCACCAAAATCTAAACGGTTCATGCTTGAGTCCAAATTTGAAGTCATTCCCTCAAGGGGTTACTGAGCGTTCACGAATGGGATGGGATGGACAGACAATCCGAACACATAACGCCTCACAGAGGCTTCACTCTGCTCTAATCCCTCCTTTCTTTTTATTTCTCGCCATGTAAAATCCAAGGTCAAATGAAGGGTGCTACATTAATTCAATTTGATTTGTACTAATTCGCTTCAACTGTTGAACTTGAACTCATCGACAGTTTTCCATGCATTAGAGCTTTCATGTTACACACACACAGTGCTGTAAAGAAATTAAGTCTGTTGTGAAGAATGCAGATTTGTGACCGGGAGATAATCAGTTCAGATCTCAGATCTGTTGATAAAACAGGAACAATGGCTCGTGCTGTGACTCAGTTGGGTGGTCTCGAGCGGGACACACAGGCGGTCTCTTGTTCACTGCAGCACTGTGGTTGTACTAGTTTATATGCAGTTTATTTTGCTGAAAAGGTTTAGTTAGGGTTTGGTGTCTTGCTCAAAGGCACACAAACACGCACTGACACACACTGACACACACTGACACACGCACTGACACGCACTGACACACACTGACACACACTGCATTTCCTTCAGCCACAGCACTGCTTCACTCACACGCAGAGACTTTTTTTTATACTCTTACCCTTTTTTTAGATTTAGGCAATGATCAAGTGTCACACACTTTACAGGGTGAGTGAAATTATCCTGAACTTTAATATTTTTTAATAAAACAAAGAATAACCACAAAAAGAGAACTTGAGCAAGCTGTTGTTGGAGAAATGACATAAGTGTGGGTTGGGTCAATCTGACTTCGAGCTGGAAATGAGCAAACAACAGCAGAAACAGGATAATATCAGGTAGGCTTATAAACCACATTTACTGCTCACGGACTTCCCATGTTTTTCATTGTTTAGGAACCTTTACATATGTCATTAATGTCAACTCCATCTCACATTATGCAGCTACACAGGAATATTTTGTCTTTATGTCAAATTGATGTTTGAGACCATCAACAAGGCACTGATCAGACTGCCAAAGAGTACAGTAGTTTACGGATGTGTTAACTCCTACCAGATGAGCTGTGCTGGGGTGGTTTCCCCGCCACTTGTCAGGATAGGTGAATGTGGTGGAAACCAAGTCGATAGTCCTGTGGTGGAAACTGTTTCTCAACATTGTGCCTCAGCCCTGCAAAAGAAAAGAAAAAAAATCCCCATTGTAACAAATCATTTCGCCAAGAAGATTATAGTCCCAAAAAAAAATCTATAAAAATAAACAGATAAATTGTCTGTGGAGATCCTCAGTCATCCATGTCATCGAACTGTATATTATATACGGTTTACAAGTGAGAGAGAAACGGGAATGTCAGTACAAGTGCTACCATTTGCCTGGAAACTGTCCTGCAAATAACTTCTTTTTTTAAGTTATTTTTTCAGATACAGTTTATTCAGATATGGACAGTGAGAGAGTGACTGAAAAGCTGGGGAGAGAAAGGGGATGACATGCAACAAAGGGCCATGGGTCAGACTTGAACCCATGGCCGCTGCAGTAAGGACTGAGCCTAAGTGGTATCCTCTCTACCAGGTGAGACACTGTGGTGCGACCGCAAAGATATTTAAGCGGTTTTTCAAAGTGAGGAGTCTGGCTGCTGCTGGTTTTTCTATCTAACTACTACTGAAATGCCATTTCTTGTATTTACTTGGTGTCATGGGTGTAAATCAGAAGATTCAACACTTCAAGTCTGCACGCACAAAAGCAAACCATATGCACAGTGTTTGCACTCACTTCAGAGATCAAAAATCCCTGCACAAGCGTTTAACCTCTCTGTTTGCAAGTGAACAAACCACCTACACAGTTATTCATAAATCAACGATGACACAGCTGTTTAATCTTGGCATAAACCAGGTTTGCTCTGTCCTTGGTCTAGCATGTGCTGAAGCATCCGCTGGGCCATTACTCACAGCCCATACACACCAGCATACACTGTCAATCACCAGAATTACTGCATGATTTGAATTACTACATTTGGAAAACACTATATCATTCGCTGTTGAGACTGTAGTGCCTGACAAAATTAAGGCTTCAAATAAAACCTTGCGTAAATTCTCTCTCTTTGATGTTTTCATTTTCTTTGGCACAATATGATATCACACTCGTTTCAGCTGACTCATAAACGTCTCTGTATGAATGGTGCAAAGATTGTGTGGATGTACGCACGCACTCAGCACGCTGTTATTGAGAAATACCCGCTTCCGTGCGGAAATAGCTGCGTGCATTCTTCGTGTGCGTGTGTACCTGTTGAATATCTGGGAACCGCTGCTGAACTGAGTCTGCAGCTGAAAAATGATCATTTTCTCACAGAAAACTGATGAGCCTGTTTACACCACTTCTTTTTCTGAGATACCAGGATGCCCTCATTGCATGAATCAGTTGTCTCTCACGTGTTAACCACTGAAAGATGCTGGATGACTACACCATGTTTCATAATTAAATGAAACATACATGCCAAATACACATACGTAGGAGTTAGTGAGTACACAAACATACGTGCAATAATTCCCAAAAGACCGTAAGGAAATCCTGAAAACACATCTGCACTTCTTGAATCTCTGCCTAACTTTCTTTGAAAACTGTGAACAGGTATTTGAGAGATCCAGGAAAAAACATGCCCTGAAAACAAACACACCCTTGGCAGAGATAAAAGTATATGGTGTGATACTTTTCAAATTTTGTAAACAACACATGTTTTCACACAAACTCATCTTAGTTTAACCCCCTGACTTCTCTACATGTTTCAAGGTCATGGGAATGCTGGTTTTAGGCTGTGCCTCAAAGTCTTGTGATAAAGCTCTCTCACCCTTCACATGTGTGAGTGTATTGTTTGACACATGAGGCAATGTCTGAAAAGCCGTCCCACACTGCAGGCAGATGCAAAGAGGCCTGTGTGTGGGCAGCGTTTTGACTAAACCTGAAGCCTGTTTATGCATAGATACATATACGTGTCCATCTGTGTGCGTGGCAATCAGAGAGAGAAGGTGAACGAAGATCTGATGTGGGTTGTCAACTTTTAATATGATTGATATTATATAAATTTGTTTGTGTTATTTATATCCTTTTATACCCTCTCCTCTTTTGTCCTGCTATAGAACACTGCCTTACAATTGTTTATTGACATTTCTACATGACATTAACAGAATACAGGCCTACTCTCGATAATGAATAAATATACAACAGAACTGTCTCCCCCTCTGTGGGATTATCTGTACAATGTGAACTTAAAAAATATTTTCTGTCTCATGCTTCATTTCTAGTCCTTTGTTTTTCTTCCCACATTTCCTCTCACGTTGTTGCGAGCAGTCAGCCAAGGAAAGAAAAAACAACCCTGCCTGGGGGTCACTGCACGCACTGTGCATCATAGCTATTCTAATGAGTAACCTAAACTTTCCAACATAATCTTATCCTCACACACCTGAGTTCTTATCTGATATGCAGCCAGCGCTGAGAGAACAAGTACAACACTTCAGAGGTGAACGCACTAAATCATAGCTCATGTACAGGGTGACTCATGATGATGGTAGCAGAGAAAATCAAGTTCAGCGTCATTCACACTGAGCTGCGCGGGATCTTGTCAACTGACAAAATGCATCCACAACAGACAGTTTACAATCAAGTGTTGGAAATGCTGAAATCTCAATCTCGGTCTACAAAAGTGGAATTAGAGTCTTTAGTCAGTGATTTATTTTGTGGATTTCCTGTTCTTTCTTGTCATCGTTTCCATTGTGAACACTTTCACACGTCACTCTGTATCATAGATATGCTCATTGTACCAGTTTCTGTGACGACTATGTTGTAGTAAATTTTCATTAAAGTACACTATGCATTATAAATATACTGAATGTTAAACTTATATAATCCAGTGGAATAGCTACACTCACAACTGAGGTTAGGTTTGTATGTGAACCAGCTTTTACTGACGTAGGATTGTTATAGGATGGAACCTGGAGGGAATAAAGTTAAAAAAAAAAAAAATGGTCCGAAGGCCCCGGGAGAAATGGTGTTGGAGTAGCAGCCATGGCGAGGTCCAGATTGAGGATTGATGAGGGCCTTAGATTTAGGGTAGAGGGGAGGATTCTGAATGCTGAATCGTTTTTGACTCCAGTAGAAAGTTAAGTGTTGGTGAAGAGGTCTAGACTTAGTCTCTGGCCCGGACCTGGACCTTTTTTCCCTCCAACAACTGCTCCACTGTCTGCATTGAATGATATGAACAACTTTTTTAAAAGCTCATTTAAAAAAAAAAAAAGGTCTGTTATTGATATGTGTCCGTGTCTGCTTTCCCTTATTCAGTTGTTTTTGTTTGATACAGCTTTAACTGCAGCATGAAAGTGAAACGCTTCCACTTATTATTATTGCTGATGTTGCTACTACTGCTGCTCCTTTTGTTATTATGACTTAACGAAAAGTTCTTTTAACAGTATAATATAAATTCTACCATAGCACTCACAGTACAACTACTATGACTACTGTTGTTATCACTATACCCCAACCACTATTACTAACTACACTACTATTTGTTAATGTTGGAGGGTACAGGCTTAGTCACACAGCAGTATAAAATATGCTAAAACAAACACAACGTAAATGTGCAAACACATTTATGGGATGTTTTTATGGCCTAAGTCTTCAGGGCAACGGGGTGGACACAATGACACAAAATTAGAATAACTGCCTTGTGGTTGTATGCCTCCGTCAACCAGTCAAGTTTCAGGAAATATGGTCACAATCTCCCCTTCTCTTTCTGGGTTATGGCACTGAATAACAGACAGAAAAACCTTTTTTGGATTTTGTGTTTATTGTGTCGCATTAAAGTTGACCTTTCACCTTTTGGATATAAAATGTCTTTACTTCATCATTTCTATCCTGTTAGACATTTATGTGAAATTGTGTCATAATTAGCGTATTCATTCCTGAGTTATGGCCAGAAACATGTTTTGTGTGGTCACAGTGACCTTGACCTTTGACCACCAAATTCTAATCAGTTCATGTTTGAATTCAAGTGAATGTTAGTGCCAAATTTAAAGGATTTACACAGCTGTCGCCGGTGCGGACGCATTCAAGTTTACAATATAACCAGTGTTGGACAAGTTACTTAAGAAATGTGATCAATCATTGAAGCTTTCTGGTTTGAATAAGACCAAACAGCGACCACAGCATCGCAAACACATTATCCTGAGGCTTGAATTTAAATGCATGTTGTTAATGAGCCTGATCTGTGGTGTTAATTAGGAAACCATGAGGCCTCTCCTGCGATCACCATCTGCAGAGACACAAGTTCATCAAGATCTATAAAACAAACGTGTCAGTAACTTCCATCTTGTAAAACCTGTTTTCGCACATGAACACTGAGTTCGTCAAGTTTGTCTCTCTGTTTAACATGACTCACGGCACATGGAAGAACTGAGCTGCATCACTGTATTGATTGTTATTGCACCTATCATTTCACTGAGTAATGAAACAGTGACTGGATTGCGTTATACTGTCCGGATATTTACACTGCAGCATCTATATAGCCTCGCAGACCCACTAGCATGGCTGGAGTCTCTTCGTCGTGTTTAGTGTTGCTCCATTTTGAATCACGCTTCAGGAAAATAGATTTGAGCTGCCAGAGGTTACTGCTGAGTTGTCTGTAGGCACATTGGGTCCAATCCAAAAGAAATATCAGTGACGAAAGGAACAAATCTGATGAGCACAATTGCTGCCTTTAGCCGAAAGCTTCATAGGTGGGCATTCATACTGGTTTGGCAGAGAGAGATAGACATGCTTGAACCGGTTCTTTTGTCACAGTGAATGTTAACGTTTGCCATCGCTAGCCACCCAGTAGGTTGATCATATGGCTGATTTCTCAACCTTATTCACATGAAACAAGTCAAATCTGCGTTTCTCATAACCTGTGTGATTGCATTACACACGTTTGTTTGTAATTATGTTTATTGTGTGGCTGAATTAGTGGTGGGTCAAAAGTGCACGCAAAATCAGTAAATGTAAATAGCATTAGAATAAAGTACTAATGGCACATTTGGTGATACAGGGAAATGCTCTGCAGTACGACTTCTTAAATAATGATAAGCAGCATTTTAATATTGTAGCTGGTCGATGTGGAGCTAATTTTACCAACTTTATATGCAGTGGGT